TTTTTTTTCTTATTTTTTTTTTTTCTTTTTTTCATATTATTCTAAAAATTTGAACAAATTACAAATTCGAATTCTTTGTCACATGAATATTCTTGTCCTCGTACATTTTATGCACATTTTTTTGCCATTAATATAAAATTCGCACGAGTAATATATTATTTTATAAAAAGATTTACATAGATTAATGCATCCTGTCGATAATATAAAATCAACTTATAATACATTAGAGAAAATGATTTTCTTCTGTTAAAATGGCAAAGCAATTTTTTATAAATCAAAACTTTGAACAAGGTTTTGCAATAAATAATTATAAATGGTATAAAAAAATAAAAAAAATGGAGACGATATTAGATATACCATTGAACTTTATAATAAGAGTAATGTTATTCATCTTCACTGGGGTTACAAATACAGTCTAGATGACGTTAATTTCACATTTCATTTAACCTATTATTTAGAATCATCTAGACTGTATTTATAATCTCACTGAAAATGAATAACATTACTCTCCTAATAATATCAAAGATAAATATCGTTTTGAAGATTGCATACGCTTCATGACTACTTTTCGATCATGCACAATTTTTTATGACAGCAATTTTTACGAGTGGACCGTCGTAGTTGGCCACGTAATTATGACAGCACCCCCTCAGAAATTGTGCATGCCATCCACGTGTCACTACGAGCTACGTGTATCGCTTACATGCAATATATTTAGGTTTTATCTTTCTACCCATCCCAAAGTATTTCAGCAAAATGTATAGTTCTTCGTCCAACCTCATCGTGAAATCTTTGTCATTCTCTCCATCAAAATCTTTTATTAGTAAAACAATTTGTCTGAGAAGAAAGAACCAGTCATCATGTGGCAGCTTAAATTTTACGTATGTTTCGACCCAAATGGTGGACCATGACCCGTCGGAGCTGCCAGGAAAATCTCCACCGGAGATTCCTACGGCACCACCAACATATAAACCTTCTGTGCCACTGCCACCGGAATTACCAAGGACTCCTAATTTTCCAGATTTTGACCCAATTCCACCGGAAAATCCGGCTGACCCACCACCACTTTCACCGAACCCAGTACCAGAGTTTCCAGGCCCACCTAATCAATACCGCCTCCACCAGGTCCTTCTCTGCCTGGACAACCTGAGGTAGTTCCACCGCATGGGCCTGATGTTACACCTCCCAAGCCGCCGGGGCCTGGGCCACCGCACCCGACAAAGCCTGACATCCCTCCAACAATTATGGGGTCAGATGGGCTCATTTTCTGTTAGTGCGATATACATGGCTGACGACGAGCGGCAATACCAATTGGGTGTGGAAGTTGATGTATAGTTTTACAGTTTACTGTGTTGTTCGATCAGGACTATGGTTGGCGAAGATAGTAAGACCAAACGCGATCAGTTGGTGTTGCCTATTAATTAATTTTGCATCCATACCAGTAGTGGAACATCAAGGATTGCAGATTTGTAATGGCTCTGCAAGTTGTCTTTCTTTTATTATAGATTAATGATTAATCCATGAATATTTCAGATAAAAGCGATGTTTTTACATATGAAAATGATTTATTGAATGTGTATATAATTAAAAATGAGCAGCAGCGTGGTCTTCGGGTTCAAAAAATTGGGTTACACAATATAGTACAAGTCTAACGGGTTTAAAAATATGAGGTCATCTATCGTGTTTGGAACACGTAAATGAATGTATGTAGAATCAGTCTAGAGGTACAGGAAATTGGTACAGAAATTTGAAATTGACAACATAGATTCAAAGATGGGAAAAACACACACAACACCCTCCCGTACAAATTCTGTGAGTTATTACAGGAATAACTCGTGTATGTATTGTTTACAAAATTGTGTCAAATATGAAAATGAAGCAGATGTAAATCGTATTTCTTTTTTGTCGTTGACCTGATCTGAGACGTCTCGTGCCTTTTTGCTACTCCCACGCTCGTTCTCTGTAGTCTTCATGACCGTCGATCGGCATTAGCGTGTTGGATAAAGCTTACGTGTGCACGAGTGGGTCCGGCATCTGTTGGCAACATTTTTTGGGGTCAACATTATTGAATGTGTATATAATTAAAAATGAGCAGCAGCGTGGTCTTCGGGTTGAAAAAATTGGGTTACACAATATAGTACAAGTCTAACGGGTTTAAAAATATGAGGTCATCTAACGTGTTTGGAACACGTAAATGAATGTATGTAGAATCAGTCTACAGGTACAGGAAATTGGTACAGAAATTTGAAATTGACAATACAAATTCAAAGATGGGAAAAATGCACACAGCACCCTCCCGTACAAATTCTGTGAGTTATTACAGGGAATAACTCGTGTATGTATTGTTTACAAAATTGTATCAAATATGAAAATGAAGCAGATGTCGATTCCATCTTTGGCACAATAGATACATCTATATGCAAGTTGAGCTGAAGTGTCGCAGTGTATTGTTTACAAAATTGTATCAAATATGAAAATGAAGCAGATGTCGATTCCATCTTTGGCACAATAGATACATCTATATGCAAGTTGAGCTGAAGTGTCGCAGTGTAGTATCCGAGCAAATCTATAACCAAACTCTATGCAATCGAAATTGTAGATAAAAAGGTTTTTGGCTTCTGCTGATCCCTTGAATGGAAACTCGAGGCCTTAATGGATAGAAGAAAGCCATCTTACTCTGTGTCTTATCATACGCAGCCACCTGCAATTCGTCCATAACAAGTAATTAATTTTAAATATACTCTTATGGTTCCAGAGGAGAAAAATATTTCCATTTTTTATTAGCAATTGAAACCATAAGAGTATCGTGGTAGTGGTCCAAGTATTTGTTTATCTACCTTGAATGGCAGAATGCTGCTCCAATCCAGGTGCCATGTTGAATACCTTCTTGCCATGATCGGCATCAAACAAATCTCTTTTCTCGAGTGGATGGCTCAGCCAGCTGGGTCCAGAACAACGATGTAGAAGTTCGCCCCTGTGCATTGATCCAAACCTTGGCATGCCATTGTACCTCGGTAGGTCCAGCATAGTGCATCGGAGATGGGAATATAGAAACTACAGTCGTCTCTGGATCAAGAACACCATCTTCAAGCACCTAAAACAACAATAAAATCTAGTTATAGAATCAATACCTATCATTTCAAGAAGCCGTCTGTATGTCAGTCATCAACAAGACATTTCCATTATGCACTGGATTTCTGAGCTGGAAAGCGAACACTGCATCTGCAATCCGTTTCGTGCTCGGAAAGCCAGAAACGATCAAGACCGTCGTTGTACTTGATTGGTTCTATAACCTCCAAATCACCACCAATCAATCAGTTTCCAGCGTGTGTAATAGCTTCCTCGACATAAGGTAGACCAGGTGCAGTGGGTCCCCAAGTTCTAGCTATTCTTTCTTCTTCGTTGTGTTTGTAAATCTCAATGCTGCAATTAGAATCAATAGGACGAATTCAATTTTCTTGATAAATCACATTATCTTATGCTATCAATGTGTATTTGCAAACGAAAAAAAAGATATTTATAGAAGTCCTCAGAGATGTAAGCAACCAAGTTCGCCACGAAGTTATCTTCATCGTCCACGAGCGCCTCGCTGGTAGACTTTTGATCATCGTCTATGGCGAGCACGATCGGAACCGACATGTTCACAACCGACCCATTCTCGAGCCGGAGCGAGTTGAAATGAAGGCGTATGGAGCGTTTAGAGGAACTTCGACTCCCGCGCGCATAAACCCCTTCAATGGGCTGGCTCAGCCTTCGCTAAGCACGTGGACCCATTGAAGGTCGATTTTCGAGAGCCTGATCTTGGGCAGTCCTAATGCCTTCTATGTTTTGGAGCCCTTTTCCGATTCTTCAACGAAGAGTTCAATTAGTTTCCCTCCATCCGGGTTGATCAGGGAAGCAGAACTCCGGGTCGGATATGTTTTCGAGTCGGGACCGTGGCGCGAAATGGTTTTTTCTTCGGTTTGGTGAAAGAGTGGGATAAAAGGGCTGGGTTTTTGAGGTAAAGAGAAGATGTGTTGGGAAATAAATTTCTAAAGTTGAAATAGGGGCATTTTGGGGAGTGAAAAAGTTCAAATTTGTAGTACTAGGATTGAATAGTAATAGATACCAGTGATAATGTTTGAAAAGGGCTGGGTATCAAATTTGAATAGTGTTTAGTTGTCCCAATGAGACGCCAAACAAAAAGGTAACAACTTCTAAAGAGTTTCTTGGTAATCTATTTATTGGATGTATAGTGATGGCTCCTTTTATTTCGAGTAGTTTAAAACGAGAGAAAATGTTCTTTCTTTTTTACTGCAATATACGATGTTCGATTGGGCTCGTTGACTCCGCATCCATAAAATTCTAAGACTCCAACAATACTTTTGACCTAAATTTCATATGTATGCAACTTGTTCGTCTCTAGCACCGAAGATAAAAAGAGAAACGAAAATTTATCTTTGTTTTTGGCTCACAATAAAACTAGGTTCCTAATCAAGCAACTAGTAATCCTATATATTCACCTCTCCAAATGCAATATCTTGAGTACCAATGATGGTAACCATAGTCGTTGGCATATGAAGTTTGGACATATAATCGAGTCCTTGTAAAATGGAGAAAGTTACGTGTTCTCATTTTATGACTATGGGGACAATTGCTTTTATTTCTGTCCATAAAGATGACAAATTCTCCTTTAGGTGCTTCAACTACAATATAGGTAGAAGAAGATTGTATATTTTTTCAATTTAAAAGTAAAATATATTTTTATTTATGCTTTGTCTACCGTTACCATTAATACTATTATTCAATTTGAGATTTTCATACTATGTCAACGTGAAAAATATTTTGGTCTCGTATTGGTCTTGATTCATCTTAAAGTTAAAGATGTGTCTAACCTCAATCTAACGAACCTTACCATTATCGAAGCCACGTGCAAAAAGGGCTAAGAATAAATATGGTATGACACACAAATTTCTCTTCTTCCATTCGACATTTCATTATTATTCTCTAATTAAACAAACTTATAAGCATGGAATTAGTTTCTGAAAAGTAACCATTCAAGGGGAACAAACTCTAACACAGACAACCTTAATGGTGTAGATTATTCAACAGGCCCACCAAGGTAATCAAAGGCCTTATTTGGGATGACCTGTAAGTACGTGATCTTCATTGATAGAATGAATACCGGTAATAATATCATCATCGGAACATTCTCAGGTCCTTTCAAACATGCTCAGCTTCATATATTCTTGTATAGTAAAAAGAAATCAATTCTATAAAAGACGAGATGAGTATAAAAATAATAACTGAAACTTTATCCTTGTAAGATCGTCAAACATCACAACACTGCAGGACGTTTTTACCAATAATCCAAACAAGAACAGGTCCCATCTCTAAAATGATGAAACCTAGTTCTGTCTCTAACTATAATTTCTCTATTGTATATGCTCGAAAGAAGCTTAGTAGTTGAATGACAATCACTGCAAACTCGAAGATTTTTTAAAATTCGGATGGCTGCATTAGATTCAGATGCAATCAGAGCAAAAGCAATAGCCAACCTTTCACTGTGATATGAAAGAGAATCTTCCTTCTCTTCCTCTTCAATGTCAAACAACACTTCTCTGGTTCTTGGCTGATGACCGCATTCTTGTAACCTTCTGTTCATCTCTTCCAGCTTCAAATATATTTCTTTTGCACAAGGATGGGTTTTGTCACCAATAAGGAACTCATGCATTGCGCCATCAATCTCAACTATGCTACTACCTGGCATTTTGTCAATGCCATGATCTTTCATCAATTTTCTTAATCGTTTTACATCATCCCATCTATTCATGTGAGCGTACATATTTGACAAAATTCTATAAAAGACGAGATGAGTATAAAAATAATAACTGAAACTTTATCCTTGTAAGATCGTCAAACATCACAACACTGCAGGACGTTTTTACCAATAATCCAAACAAGAACAGGTCCCATCTCTAAAATGATGAAACCTAGTTCTGTCTCTAACTATAATTTCTCTATTGTATATGCTCGAAAGAAGCTTAGTAGTTGAATGACAATCACTGCAAACTCGAAGATTTTTTAAAATTCGGATGGCTGCATTAGATTCAGATGCAATCAGAGCAAAAGCAATAGCCAACCTTTCACTGTGATATGAAAGAGAATCTTCCTTCTCTTCCTCTTCAATGTCAAACAACACTTCTCTGGTTCTTGGCTGATGACCGCATTCTTGTAACCTTCTGTTCATCTCTTCCAGCTTCAAATATATTTCTTTTGCACAAGGATGGGTTTTGTCACCAATAAGGAACTCATGCATTGCGCCATCAATCTCAACTATGCTACTACCTGGCATTTTGTCAATGCCATGATCTTTCATCAATTTTCTTAATCGTTTTACATCATCCCATCTATTCATGTGAGCGTACATATTTGACAAAAGCACAAAATTTCCACTAGTTTCTGGCTCTAATTGCACCAAGTGTTGCAGTGCAACTTCACCTATCTCTAAATTCCCACGAACTCTTGCAGCTCCAAGTAAAGACCTCCACAAAATTGCATTAGGTTTCATAGGCATGGTGTCAACTATTTTTTCAGCTTCCTTAAGCTTCCCTGCACGACCCAAAAGATCCACCAGGCAACAATAGTGCTCAAGTTTAGGTTCAAGTCCGTAGTGACTCTTCATTGCCTCAAAATGTTTGTACCCTTCGTCCACCAATCCCACATGTGAACAAGCATAAATTATGGTTAATATTGTTACATCATCTGGGCCCAAACTCTCTTCTCTCATTTGCGTGAATAGGTCAAGTGCCTTGTGCCCATGACCATGTATTGCAAATCCTCTAATCATGGCATTGTAACAAAATATGTCCTTTTGAAGCAACTGATCAAACAATTGACAAGCAAAATTAAGATACCCACAATTTGCATACAAGGTAATTAATGCTGTCCCAATGAAAATATTAAGGCTAAGATGATTCCTAATTACATAAGCATGAGCCCATGTTCCTTGATTGAGTGCACCAAGGTTGGCACAAGCACTAATTAATTCCACTAGAGTAACTTCGTTAGGCTTAACAAAGGACTGCTGCATCCGGCTAAACATATTCAAGACTTCCATTGACAAACTAGCATTTCCACCAAAATTACATGCATCAGCGAGCAAAGGAATTGTTGCATTACGCATGTAAGCTGATAATATCGAGTTCCAAGAGGCTAAATCTGGTTCAACAATTTGATCAAAAAAGTACCTCGAAATACCAACTTTGCCACATCTAGAATAAAAATTAAGCAATGAAGCTTGAACAAAGTTGTCATATGGGGTGTCAAGAAATTTCAGTACATGACCGTGTAGTGCTCGACCATGTTTTAGCCACTGATGGGACCCACAAGCCTTGAAGAGGGAGGGGTAAGTATAGTTGTTTGGCTTAAGGGTAGGGTGACTGAAAATTGTGATATACAGAGAGAAGGCAGCATGGGTGTACTCTTTTTGAACAAAAGATGAGATGAGAGTGTTGAATAGAAATATGGTAGGGTTACGAGCTTGGTTGAAGATGGTTAGTGTGTATGATAAGGTAGCGAGAGTAGAGGATGAAAGGAGAATGCGGCTGACAGGGTAAGTATGAAGGATGAGACCTGTTGTAATCATTTGAGCATGGACTTGCTTGAAGGTGTACAGGGTCTTGCATTGCTGTAGCAGATGGAGAATTGGGTGGTTGACGATTGGGCTTATTGATTTCATACAGATTATGCAAATGTTGTAACATATACATGTTCATCAAATGTTCCAACTCACTGTCAGACAAGACCGGAGAGAGGTTTTAGCCGCAGCAAATCACCCTTTTTGTTGTATATCCAACACGCCTTGGCTCCCAAAAAGGAATCTGACAAGCATGGATAAACCTTGCTCGGCAATTTTATTTTTCAATTCGATAGCACTAAAATCACAAAGTTATCCCGTCGACCTAAAATCAGGCAAATTTGTAATTCATACAGTATATAGAAACATGGAAGAAAATAGCAGATCAAGAAATATAAATTCGTATATCATATCGCCATGCAAGTTATTATAGTGCTTATGTTTAAAGGATTAAGAAACTTTCATAGAGGAATTTCGTCGAACAAAATATATACATTACCCAAGCGCATACTCACATTTATTCAACGTCGTGTGATAAAAAAAGATTCACGGCCTCAGCGGTAATTTCCGTACTAGAAAAGACTCTTTTTCTGCAATGAATTCATGAAGCTAATTGAATTTCTAGTTGCCAAGAAGTTTAATGAGTTTCATAGACGTTCTGGGTAAAATTTTTACAGTTTCTTGAGCGTACTGGACTGGCGGGTCATTTTGACACCGAACAAATTAGAGCCATTTGGGTCAAATAAGGATGGCCCGTTCAGTTCCGTCTGCTTCGTATCAATGAAAAAAATTGGGAGGTTGGAGTAATCATCAGAGACCAAGTCAGACAAAAACTTTTTTGCACTGAACATTACATTTTACCTATAAGAAGCCAGCACTGAACCGGAAACTTGTATGTCGAATTCCCCAATCCACTGTACATACAGCATGACTCAAAAAATTAAATAGGTTCGAACAACCCTGAGTTAAAGCCTGTCTCCACCCTTGGTGGTTAAGAGTGAAATATAAATAATATTATTCATCAGTAGTAGTTATGAACATCGTCACAATTTCTCATTGGAATGGAGAAGAGCACCTAATCGAACCGAAATTTTCGGGTATTTATTAAGTGAAACCATCGGGTCCAAATTTAATTATCAAACTGTTCGGGTTTGGTTCCATTCGATTCAGTTCGGTTCGGTTCTATTCGATTCCCAGGTTCCATACAATAATTAAATTTTTTTATATTTACAACAACGATACATTAATTCGACTATAACATGTTCAATCTTAACTCTTATAAAATTACGTAATCCAATCTAGTGATATCTTTTGCATATTTCTTTGTTAAGTTCTTCACAAATATAACCGTTAACATCATAAGAAGAAGAAAAAGATAGCGAGTTCACAATACTAGAATGACATAAACGATACTACGGTAGAATAAGATATTTGGGTAAAATTTAGATCAATTTGATTAAGTTGGATTTGCCTTAAAATTGAAAATAGTAAAATCATATTTTAAGTTTGAACTAAATTAATTAGTTAGCAAATTCATATAGAAAAAATAAAATAATTTGACTTATTTAAAATAAAAAGTTAAAAAAAATAGGAAGATTTGGTTCTAGGTTTAGAATCGAGAACCGAACCAAATCTGTCGGTTCTTGATTTAGATACCCGTTCAGGTATTTAATTTAAGAAGAACCGCTCGATTCGGTTCAAGAGTTTTGTCAAACCCTAATTCCTCCGATCAATAACTTAGTCATCTGAAGTTGGTAATTTCAGTATGAATAATATTATTTGTACATAAGTAATTACGGAAAGTTTTACATATTGATGAGGTCAAAAAGAAAGTGGTGAAGTTTCTTCTTCTTCTTTTTTTTTGATTATTTCGTTGAAGAGATTGTGATACAATCATATCTTACTACATCATGTGTTAGTAAATCAATCTGTAAGTAATGATATACATGTAGTACAATCGTTCTAATATTACACAAGCCCAAGGAAGCCAACTGGACCAACGATTTCACCCAATTTATGATCCATTTGTTCCAGTCAGAAGATGAGTTGACTTTAATATTGCTTCTTTTTTTTTTCAAATCATAAATGAAAAATATGACAGTTTAAAGTCGAGTTGACTAATTTTGTTGATCAAATCCTAAACGTAAGATAGAAAAACAGTTATATACAGTAATGATATTTATGTATTTTTACAATAGTAAGATTTTTTGGATGAAAAAAATTAAAAGTAATATTCTTTTTCATTTTGATGAT